CCGCTGAGCTCGGGGTCAGAGGCCTTGGTCCCTTCCCACGTGGCCCCTCTGTGGGCTGCTTGGGCTTCCTCACAGCGTGGTGGCCGGGTGTTAGGTGGACGTATATTTAAGTGCAATATTTGGGGCATATGCCACCCAATTATTCATTGTCTGTCTGAAAGTCTAATGTACTCAGGAACCTCGCGTTTTATTTGCTGAATCTGATAACCCAGGTCTCCTGCTCCAGTGACGGGGACCAGAGGGACTGCCAGGGGTCAGACGGCCCCAACCCGGATCCTGGACTGAGCTCCAGTCGGCCAGAGCCTCCTCTCCGGTCCGCAGGGCCCGGAGCGCAGAGCCTGCCCGGAGCTTCCCTGTGCCGCCCACTTCTCCCCCTCGGGGCCTCGCTTTCCCCCACTCCGTGAGGCCCTGGCGGTTTCTCCGCCGGTCCCACCTCCCCCAGGACTTCCTGAGGGCAGCAGGGGCTCCACAGCGGCCAGGACCGGCCCAGGAGGGCCTGGGCCTGGGCCTGGGCGGCTCTGTCCTTTGGCCGAAGGACCTTGAGGGACCAGGACAAAGCTCTTTTCTTCCTCCCAAAGCTCCCTCAAACCTGTTCCACCGCCTCCACGGCAACTGATTCAGGCACGGATCATTGACAGATGCTGAAACCCTCCATGAAACGTTCCCACGGTATCAAAATGAAAGTGCCCTTTACAGGAGGGACACCTGGCCCGCGGCGCCAACCGCTGCCCACTCCTCCCCCGGCCTCCGACCCAGGTCTCCGGATCAAAGGAGCCCAGAGGGAGCTGCCTCGTAAACGCCACGCTTGATCTGGGATTAGAGTCCGGCCCGGAAAAATGGCAGCTGGAAGGGCATGACGGGGCAGGAGGAACGGGCCTGGGAATTCGGTAACAGCTGATCAATGGTGAATGCCCTCAGTTTGGTCATGGCACTGCGCGTGGTATAACCAACGGCCTTGGTCTCAGGAGCTACGCGGGGCTGGAGGTGAAAGGTCACTCCCTGCCACTGACTCCCCGGCTCAGCAGAAGCAAACAGGTCGATAAAGCAGAAGGCAGAGGGGGTAGGGGGAGGTCACGTGATAACAATTGGAGCGTCTGCGAGTTCGTTGTACTATTTTTGCAACTTCTCTGCACATTGGACATTTTTTTCAAAATAAAAAGCCTGAGGGGTCTGGCAGGCACGGCTCGGTGGATGAGTGTTGAGCTATGAACCAGGAGGCCAGAGTTCAATCCCAGGTGAGGGCAGCATGCCCAGACTGCAGGCTCGATCCGCAGAGAGGGGCGTGCAGGAGGCAGCCAATCGCTGATTCTCATCATTGATGTTTCTATCTTTTTTTATATTTTATTGATTTTTAAAAAATATATTTTTATTGATTTTTCACAGAGAGGAAGAGAGAGGGATAGAGAGTTAGAAACATCGATGAGAGAGAATCATCGACCAGCTGCCTCTTGCACACCCCCTACTGGGGATGTGCCTGCAACCAAGGCACATGCCCTTGACCAGAATCGAACCCGGGACCTTTCAGTCCGCAGGCCAACACTCTATCCACTGAGCCAAACTGGTTTCGGGAATGTTTCTATCTTTTGCTCCCTCTCCCTCCTCTCTAAAATCAATAAAAATATATATACATTTTAAAAAGTCTGCGGGAGCACAATCTACAATAGCCAGAATTTGGAAACAGCCTAGGTGCCCGTCAGCAGATGATTGGATCCAAAAACTATGGTACATCTACACAATGGAATACTGTGCTGCCATAAAAAAGAAGGAATTCTCATCATTTGCAGCAACCTGGATGGAAATGGAGAACATTATGCTGAGTGAAATAAGCCAATCAATGAAAGAGAAACACCACATGACCTCACTCATTTATGGATAATAAAGAACATTATAAACTGATGAACCAAAAGATAGATATAGAGACAGTAAAGCAACAAGCAGACTCTCAAATTACAGCAGGTAGGGTAGGGAGATCTGGGGGAGATAATAGATCAACCGAAGGACTTGTATACATGCATATAAGTACAACCAATGGACACAAAACTCTGGGGAGGGAGGGTATGTATGGGGGGGGCAATGTTAAAATATGTACACAGATAATAATTTAATTAAAAAATAAAATAAATAAATAAAAATAAAATAAAATAAAAAAAAGTCTGCGGGAACATATACCCAGAATAAAATATCAGAAGTAGGAGCGTCCGAATGACCTAACGCCCCCTATTGGAGGAGGCGGCCTGCGGTCACACCGTGAATGGCAGTGAGCCCACCCCACTTGGTCTGAGTCCCAAGAGCAGGAGGGAGCACCGCAGCGATGTCATCCCCGGTCTTTCCTGCGTCCCTCCACCCCCCTGAGTCACCCTCCTTTGCTACAGGAGAGCAGCCTGTGGGGTCTGCGGAGAAATCCACCCCCCTCTCCAAACAGGCCACCACCGCCTCAGCCTGTACAGCCCAGCGCCCGTGAGGGGGCCCCTGCCTCCCCAGGTGCCGGCAGGATCGCCCAGGAGGGAGGCCCGAGATCAGGGGACAGGAATTCGAACAGTGTCCCCGGAAAGCAGCAAGTCCTGGGGTCTCACCGGCTATGCTAGCAGGTCCAAACCCCAGGCAGACACTGGGGAGTTGAAGCCCAGATCGGGAACTGAGCAAAATGAACGCCCCTGGCCAGTCCCTCACCAAGCTGGGGCAGTCGGAAGAGGTTGGGGCCTGGGACCACGCAGGCTGGAGGGGGTGGTGCAAGGAGTTTCCCGTGGCACTGGTGTCATGACTGTCCGGAGCTCAGAAGCAGCTGTCCTGACCTCGAGGGACCCCAGGCAGACAAAATCCACCCCCACCCCCCGTCTGGCTTCACGTCCAGCCTTCGTCCACTTTTGCACCAGGTGTGTGACCTCCTCAAGTTCATGTGTGGCCACGGACAGGGTCACACAGCCAGGCAGGAACCAACGCCAGTGTAAGGCCAGGCCCGGCGGGCAGGTCACGCTCAAGAGAGGCTTCCAGATAAAACCAGGAGAGAAAACCCCGCTTTGGGCTTTACTCAGTGGAATGAGCCGGTGGTGTAAACGCGGCAGGATTTATTGCAGGGAGGGGAGAGCAAAACCCCTCAGTCACTTACGTTGTGAACGATAAATTTTCGGTATAGAAGCAATCCTGAAGACACAGAGAAAGGACGGGAGAGATAGACAGTTAACATGATACGAAGAGAAGCACCTGGGCCGGGGTGGCTCAGTTGGTTGAAGCATCGTCCCACACACTGCAAGGTTGTGGGTTTGATTCTTGGTTTGAGAATGGGGAGCTGGCAATGGGAGGGAGATTCCTGGTCAGGTGTGCTGACGGCAAGCTTTGTGATTTGATGACTTCCTTTGAGATATTAAAATTGTGACCATGAAAGCAGAAATAAGTGATCTGCTCTCTCATTTACCCTTCTATTCTATGGTAGTGGAACCATCTCCCTGCCCCTCCCTCCAGGCTGTTCCAGCTCCCTCTCAAAGCCAGCCGTCCGAGCCCCATCTGCCCAAATCTTGCAGGGCCTCCCACATTCCCCCACACCCCAGCTCCCCCCACCCGGGGTCCCACACTGCCTCACTGTGACCTCCCATTACACCACTGTGCTCCCAGCTCTGGCCTCGCTGACCCTATCCACCCGTTCCCACCTCCAGGCTCTGCCCAGCTCCCTCTGCCCGGCCAGCGTCACCCTGCCAGACACATCACCCAGGAAGGCGGGCTGGTCAGAGTACCAGGGACTCCTATCCGGGTCATTCCAGGCCGGCGAGGCAGGAAGTGCTTGTGGGGCGGGGCCAGCGTGGGCCCACACAGTGTCTGTTACATTCACTCCCTCGACAAGTGTTTATTGAGCACCTACTATGTGCAGGGGACTTCAAGGCGGAGTCCTGCCTGCAGGGAGCCCTGGTCCACTGGGGTGGAAGCGCACAGGTGGCTTCAGCTCAGCACTAGGCTGCATGGGGGTAGGAGGGTCAGGGCGGCCAGTGGAGGAGACCCTTGATGTGACGCCCACACAGTAGGCAAGGGTCCCAGAGGGAGGAGGGGAAGGCAAGTGCGGACAAAAGCGGCCACATGCTAACCTGACAAGCTCAGGGGAGGCCTGCTAAATTTTTAATTAAAAACAGGTAATAGTAGTCATGTCCTAGGCCGATGTTTTCCCTGACAAAGATCAACTTCGACCTTTACTGAGCCCATTTGTCTTTTTGCCTCTAAGATAACACATCTATGAGATGTCTGGGTAGCTTGTAACTCCCCCCTTTTTCCCTCAGGGCACAAGTGGCACCAGGACCTTCCCTCTTATTGTTATCAAGTTAATTGTCAACTGTTAATTAAACTATCCGTATCCATCCGTGTGGAGAAGCACGTGTCCATCATTTCACTTTACCCTATCCCAGAGGGTCCCCGCTTCGCTCTCTCCCCCAGCCCCAACCTATCGCCAATGGATTTCATGGATCCCAGGCGCGTCTTTCCCTTCACGGTAATTTATAAAAACAAGGTGTAGCTCCCGTCCTCCGGGGCATTATTCCGTTCGCTGAGGTTCTGCTTTCGGGCACATGCCGGCAGTTTGGCTCAAATAAACTCACGAAATTCTTACCAGTTGCATGACTTTTACATTAACAGGAGTCAGAGCCCGGAGGGGCCCAGCGGCTCCGCGGCGCCAGGGGGCGGGGCCAAGGTGGGGGCGGGGCGGGGCGGGGCGGGGCCTGCGGGGCGTTTCCGGGTTCAGTTTCAGTGAAGGGGCCGCCATCTTCCTCCCTGAGGGCGGCGCACCCGAGCCCCTCAGCAGGCGGAGCCCGGTGCTCGGAGCTGGAGCGTCTGCACCTCCGGCCCGCGGCCCCCCCGCCCCGCGGCCCCCCCTCTGTGCACCCCGCGGCCCCCCGCCCCGCGGCCCCCCCTCTGTGCACCCCGCGGTCCCCCGCCCCGCGGCCCCCCCTCTGTGCACCCCGCGGCCCGCGGCCCCTCCGCGCACCCTCGGGCGGCGGGGCGGGGCGGGCGGGGCGGGGCGGCGGGCCGGCCCAGGCCTCCGCCCGGTGAGCCGCGGGCCGGCGCCGCCCTCCTCGGGGTGACGCGGCGGGGCGGGGCGCGGCGCGGACGGACGGACGGAGCCGGCGGAGAGCGGAGCAGCCGGCGCGATGGGGGCCCAGCTGAGCACGGTAGGTGCGGGGCCGGGCCGGGCCGGGCCGGGGCGGAGGGCGGCGCGGGGACCGCGGGCACGGCCTGGGGCGGCGCCCACTGGGACCAGCCGGGGGCCGGGGCCGGGGGCCAGGTGCGGGGTGCGATCCCACCCCGCCGCACCCCCCCCGCCCCGCCCGGCCTGGGCGTGCCCGCGGGCGCCTGACTCACGCCCTGGCCTCTGCCCGGGACCCAGCCCTCCGGCCAGGGATGGCGACCGGCCCGGGATGGCGACCGAGGGCTCCGGGGGCGGCCCGGCCCGCCGCCCTCAGCCGTCCGCGCCGGGCCCCCCATCCCCGCAGCCCCCATCCCCGCCCCCCGTCCTCCCCACTCCCCCCCCCGTCCCCGCCCCCCGTCCTCCCCACTCCCCCCCCCGTCCCCGCCCCCCGTCCTCCCCACTCCCCCCATCCCCGCCCCCCATCCTCCCCACTCCCCCACCCCCCACTCCCCCATCCCCGCCCCCCATCCTCCCCACTCCCCCATCCCCGCCCCCCACCCCCCCCACTCCCCATCCCCGCCCCCATCCTCCCCGCCCCCATCCTCCCCACTCCCCCATCCCCGCCCCCCATCCTCCCCACTCCCCCATCCCCGCCCCCCACCCCCCCACTCCCCCATCCCCCCCACTCCCCCATCCCCGCCCCCATCCTCCCCGCCCCCCATCCTCCCCACTCCCCCATCCCCCCCACTCCCCATCCCCGCCCCCATCCTCCCCGCCCCCCATCCTCCCCACTCCCCCATCCCCGCCCCCCACCCCCCCACTCCCCCATCCCCGCCCCCATCCTCCCCGCCCCCCATCCTCCCCACTCCCACATCCCCCCCACTCCCCCCACCCCCGCCGCCCACGCAGGCACAGCGGCCTCTGGAGTGGGGAGCCAGTGTCTGTGACCTGGAGAGTTTGCGTGCGACCGAGTGTGACAGTGCATGACGCGTGACGGTGTGACTGTGACTGGTGAGCGCGTGTGGCCGAGCACGTGTGCATGTGTGAATGGGAGTGTACACGGGTGCGTGTGGATGCACGTGGGTCTGAGTGCCGGTGTGTGACACGGGGTGGCTGTGCGGGTGAGTGTGCAGCGTGTGGGTGAGGGAGGGTGTGAGGCTGCGGGAGAGGAACGTGCGGCTGAGTGGTGTGTGTGTGTGTGTGTGAGGGTCGGGGTGGGGTATGTGAGTGGGGGGTGTGAGTGGGAGTGTGTGGGTGTGTATGTGGGGAGTGAGTGTGAGTGTATGTGTGTGAGTGGGTGGGTGTGGGTGTGAGTGTGTATGTGGGAGGTGAGTGTGGGGGTGTGTGAGTGAGTGTGTGGGGGTGGGATATGTGAGTGGGGGGTGTGAGTGGGGGTGAGTATGTGGGGAATGAGTGTGAGTGTGTGGGGGGGTGTATGTGGGGAGTGAGTGTGAGTGTGTGGGGGTGTGTATGTGGGGAATGAGTGTGAGTGTGTGGGGGTGGGATTTGTGAGTGGGGGTGAGTATGTGGGGAATGAGTGTGAGTGTGTGTGTGTGTGAGTGTGGGGGAGGGGGTATGTGAGTGTGTGTGGGTGGGATATGTGAGTGGGGGGTGTGAGTGGGAGTGTGGGGGTGTGTATGTGGGGAATGAGTGTGAGTGTGTGTGGGTGTGTATGTGGGGAGTGAGTGTGAGTGTGTGTGGGTGTGTATGTGGGGAGTGAGTGTGAGTGTATGTGTGTGAGTGTGAGTGGGTGTGAGTGGGTGGGTGTGGGTGTGAGTGTGTGTATGTGGGAGGTGAGTGAGTGTGTGGGGGTGGGATATGTGAGTGGGGGTATGTGGGGAGTGAGTGTGAGTGTGTGTAGTGGGGGGGGGTAGGGGTATGTGAGGGTGGGGGGGTGGGTGTATGTAAGTGGGGGGTGTGAGTGTGAGTGTGTGGGGGTGTGTATGTGGGGAGTGAGTGAGTGTGTGTGGGTGTGTGAGGGTGGGGGTGTGGGGGTGAGTATGTGGGGAGTGAGTGTGAGTGTGTGTGGGTGTGTATGTGGGGAGTGAGTGTGAGTGTGTGTGAGTGGGGGGGTAGGGGTATGTGAGGGTGGGGGGGTGAGTGGGGGGGTGGGGGTGTGAGTGTGAGTGTGTGTGAGTGGGGGGGTAGGGGTATGTGAGGGTGGGGGGGGGGTGAGTGGGGGTGTGAGTGTGAGTGTGTGTGAGTGGGGGGGTAGGGGTATGTGAGGGTGGGGGGGTGAGTGGGGGTGTGGGGGTATGTGGGGAGTGAGTGGGAGTGTGTGTGGGTGTGAGTGTGTGTGTGTGGGTGGGATATGTGAGTGGGGGGTGTGAGTGGGGGTGTGTATGTGGGGAGTGAGTGTGTGTGTGTGTGTGTGTGAGGGTGGGGGGTGGGTGTATGTGAGTGGGGGTGTGGGGGTGTGTATGTGGGGAGTGAGTGTGAGTGTGTGAGTGGGGGGCAGGGTGATGACGTGGGGGGTGACGTGGCTGGACGGAAGGGGCTTTGTGCACCGTTAGCGCGCACACACACACACACACGCACACACACACCCGCCGGCGCTCCCTGCCGGGCCGTGGTGTTGGCCGTTGCACAGAGGAAATCAGCTCGGACCTGGCCAGCGGCTCAGCCGGAATCTGTGGAGCCAAAGTCCAGTCCTGCCGTCACTTCGGATTGTCCCAAAGCTGCCTCCCCCACCAGGCCCACCGCCTCTCAGATTTCCCAAAATGCAGAGCGGCTTGGGGTTGTGTTCCCCTGGAGACTGGCCAGAGGGCAGCCCCAGTCACCGGCGGGCTTGCGGGGGGGGGGGTGCGGGCAGGGCTGGGGGAGGGGGCTGAGGGGGAGAACAGGCCCAGCACCTGGGCCTCCCTGTCCCTGCCCTCGGCCTCTGTGAGCGCTCAGTGGCCCACCCCGCGCTGCCCCGGCCGCCTCCCTCAGACTGTGAGGCTCCCGGACCCGGTGTTTGCTGTGAACTAGGGCCCAGCCAGGACTCGGGGGGTGTTCAGACCAGGACATACTTGTGGGCATCACCCCGGCTCAGGCTAACTTCCTGACTGTGCTCCCAGGAATTGCCTTCCCGTCCCCTCCCCCCGGGCTTCTCACCTCTCCCAGCGGCGGTTGGGTTTGTCGCTGGGTCCCGGCACGGCTGTTGCTCACATCGTCTGAACTGCCAGGGCCCCTGGCAGCCCCATGTGAGGGGCGGAGCCCTGTCTTGGGGTCAGGAGACCTGATCCGCCCAGGGGTTACTGGGAATTGCCCCTTTCCTGTGGGACCTGCGGGGCCCCCCGGCCCAGAATACCCACCGCAGACCCAGCGGGGCGCCTGGTGAGGGGCTGCCGTGGTCTGAGGGAGGCCAGCCCAGGCTGGGGCGCCAGGCAGCTTATCTGGGATGTGCAGGCTCCAGGCTCTGAGGAAGGCCTCCCACCCTCCGGGGGCCCAGGGGGCCCATCAAGGGGTTGGCACTTGAATCTACCAGCACCAACCACCTGAGGGGAGCGCTGGGGCCTGGTCCCCTGCCCTCAGCCGCTGTGAGTGCTCAGTGGGCCCACCCCACACTGCCCCTGGCCGCTCAGGCCTCAGTGGTGGTCCCGGGAAACTGGGTGGTCTCCCCTGCAGAAGGCCGCTCTGCAGTCACCTGCCCTCCTCCTGGGCTCCCTTCTCCTGCCCTTGAGGCAAGGAGCCCCGCCCCCGCAGGACTTCCTCCACTCCCACTTCCTGAGGAGGGGACCGGCGGGTGGCCGCTCAGAGCCCAGTGGCACAGCGGGCAATCGGGCAGCAGGCTGGTAAGCTCAGTGCAGGGAGCTGGCATGTGGGGAGGGCTGGGCCTGCCAGGTAGGAGGTCCTGGCACATCCCTCTGCCCACCCAGACCTGACCTGGGCGGAGTGGACGCCAGGGTTCCAGTGGGGAATTCGGGGGTGAGCAGCTGAGCATGGTGCCCTGTGGTGGGGAGCAGGGCAACCCAGCCCCTCAGCTACAGTGGGTGAGCTGGGGGCTCCCTGGAGACAGCCTGGGACTCTGGCACCCCATTTCCTTCACACACACCCCCCCCCCCCTGTGTTATCAGAAGTGAGGAAAGGCGGGTGGGGGTTCCCTCCCGGGGCAGAGCACAGACCACGGAGCACCAGTCAAGGCCCTGGAGGCAGCTTCTGGAGGCAGCTGTTTCTAGAACCCCCGGGGTGGCTGGGGCGAGGTGGTGTGTGTGTGTGTGTGTGTATGTGCGCATATATTATGGGTACAAGCTGTGCAGTTGAGAAGCTGGGGTGAGGCCTTGGCTCGGCCATCTGCCTCCTGTTTACTCTGCCGGCAGCGTGCAGGGTGGGAGGGTGCCGTGCAGGATGGGAGGGTGCGTGCAGGGTGGGAGGGTGCCGTGCAGGGTGGGAGGGTGCCGTAGGCAGGGAGGGGGCTCAGAGCCTGTTTCACTCCACATCCCACCCCTTATGAGCCTGGTACCGCCTCCCACGTTCCGCAGACACAGCCCTGGCTCTCCACTGCCTCTTCTCTGCCGTGTCTGTTTCCCCGCCGACCTGACCACCTCAAGGTGGGTCCCTTGGCCTGTGACCCCCAAGGCCTGCATAGGCCCTGGCAGGTGTGCCCTTTGGGGGTGGCCGGCGGGCCTGCCCACAGCGCCCCCCATAGGAATTGTTTGTACCTGAAGCCCTCTGCTCTCGGGGGCCAGGCGGTGTGGGTGGGCGCAGAGGGGCCGTGTGCTGTGGTTTGCTCAGGGCACAGACTGGAGCCAGACCCCTGGGTTCAAATGCTGGCCTTGGCATTGTCACCCTAGCCTCAGATCCTCGTCTGAAATAGGGGTGTACAGCCCCGCCTCCCAGCTCTGCGGGGTCCCCCGTTGTTGGGAGCGGGGCCTGGAGGCCCCCCGCAAGCATCAGCCGCCCAGTGAGCATTCTTCCCACAGTGGCTCCAGTGTGCCACCTCTGGGAAGTGGGTGTCCTGGCAGGTGAGGGCACAGCCGGAAGCCCGGATCCCAGACCCGGGGAGGGCCCTGCGCTTGATGGTACACAGGATGGGCCGGGCATGCCCCACCCATCTGGCCT